CGGTTTTAAAGTGAGCGGGTTGATTCTTGAATATGTGCATCTCTGGCTTCTGGGTCTTTTAAAACTGATATAAAGGTCTTGGAGTACTTGAGAAGATTGAAATACAGCTCCTGGATCTGTTAATAGACCAGCTGCAGCTACTATTTAGGCTTCTGAGGCGGGGCTACTAGGTTTCCAGCAAGGGTTGAGACACAGGAGGCTGAGGTTATGTGATACTGGGATAACTCTCTCAGGTTATGCAATGACTCAGTATCTGTTATTAACTTATCCTTGGTAACAGAAATTACCTCATCCATATAAAGTATAATAATAGTTTCCCATCGAAGCACTCGGACCTAACAGTGCATGGAATGGAATGACAGGAAACATTCATTAGGCAAGAACAATTTTAATCAGTTTTGGCCTTGGATTTGGAGAAGAGCCAGGAACACAAGGAAATTATAAGTCGTACTGAGACGTAGCTGATAATGACGAGCAAAACAACTACTGTTGCCCACACGTCTACGTTGTACAGCTCGTACCTGAAATTATAACAACACTCTTAAGACAAGATGGAACTATGGTATGAAAAACAGAAAAAAATTAATAAAATTAACAAAAGCTTAAATAAAGAAAAATGAATAGGTTTTCATTAGGTGAGTTACTGCCATGATTTTTACCACGATCCTTCAAAGATATATATATTATATTATATATATATATATATATATTTTTTTTATATAAATATATAAATATATATATATTTTATATATATATACATATATATCTCATTGTGTTCTACATGAAATTAATAACCTAGTAGATAAAGCAGATGAATTATATTCTGATCATCCACCTGTTTCTCTAAAAACAATACAGATATCATTAAACAGAAAACAAATTTTTATTGCCATGACAATGCTATTAAAACAAAGAGTAAGGGGCAAATACACGCTAATACATTGGGGTGAAGACAATACCAATTCTTGAACGAAAATAAAAGAAAATTTCAAGGCTAGCCAAAAACTGAAAATGAAATCTAAATGTTTCTCTCTGTCCTGGATCATTGCAATGTTTAGGATGGACTGGAGCTTTTTTTTTCTAGCTTCCCTTCCGGATATTTTGTTTTGCTGGGAAATGATTCTTCCAAAATATTGTGACCTTCATTCTTTGGTTTTTGTTTTAATTATCTACTAAACGACAAAACATACGATGCTACATGTTACTTTTATTAATGCTAACTTATATATTGAAGTAGAGTTGTACTAACCATGGCATGGTGACAGCAGGACACCGGAGATGGTATGCTCCCTGGTGTCGTATAACATACTTGATCCAGTAGAGGGCCACCTCTGCTGGCTCTTGTGGACGATCTATCATAATTTTGGACCTTCTTGTTAGGTTTTAGTTTCTCTATTTGTCTGAGGACCATGTCACTAGTTACTGCAATTGTACATAGTTTATTATCCTGTTCTACATAATCTATTATTTCAGGAATATCGCTAGTATTTTCCTGGGTGAAAACTGAGAGGAAGTAAGTATTGAGAATTTCACACATATCCTTATCACTGTCAGTGATCTGACTAGAGTTATTCTTAAGTGGGCCAGTCTTGTCCCTAATTTTACTTTTGTATACCTGAAAGAACCCTTTTGGGTTAGTCTTTGAATCCCTTGCGACCTTAGCCTCATAATCCCTTTTTACTTTTCTTATTCCTTTCTTTATTTCTCTCTTTAATTGAATATATTGATATCTTAACTGCCCATCCCTCTTTGATACACCTATATATGCCTCTCTTTTGACCAATGAGATGTTTAATCTAATGTTCATCCATTTGGGATCATTTTTGTTAGATCTAATTTCCCTACTCGGAACAAAAGTTGTCTGGGCAGCTGGAACTATGCTTTGAAAAACGTCATATTGGCAACCAAGATCATCTACCTGACCCATAGTCAGGACATCCCAATTTAGCCACCCAGGTAATTTTTCGGTCCATGAAGTGGCCAAGCGAAAATCTGGGACAGAGATTTGATTGCAGTTATCTGGGTAATTCTATGAAATATTAAAACTAAGTGATTTGTGATCACTTTCCCAAGCTCATCATTAACTCAAGATTATTAATTAGTGAATCTTTGTTGGCAAGAACCAAGTCAAGCAGATTGTTTCCTCTAGTTGGTTCTGTCACAACTTGATCTAAAAAGCAATCCTGAACCGTATCAAGAAAGTCACTAGACAAGATTTCCTGTCATATTGTTCCAATTAGTTGTCTAAAGTTAAAATCTCCCATTATCACAAACATTTCATATCTAGATGCCTTATGAATTTCGTCCCATAACAGCTTACTGCACTCCTATCAAGGTTTGGGGGCCTATAAATCACGTCCAAAATTATTTGTCACGTCCTCGAGAAACTGTAGCCAAACAGATTCAGTGTTCGATGCTTCTAATCTTATATCAATTTAAATTTTCTCGGACAAACACCGCACTCCACCACCCTTCCTGTTGACCTATCAATGTGGAATAGTTTATAACCCTGTATGTTGCGTTCAGAAGGCATTTCTCTATCTTTCAGGTTGAACAGGTCTCTGTTATACAATAATATCTATATTACGATGGAAATAAATGGTATAAAATACCGACACAATGGAAATATAAACACATATGCAGTATAATGTGATCCTTTATTGACAACGTTTCACCCACACAGTGGGCTTTTTCAAGTCACACACAGATCTGTGTGTGACTTGAAAAGCCCATGTGGGGGTGAAACGTTGTCAATAAAGGATCACATTATACTGCATATGTGTTTATATTTCCAATATCTATATTACCTACACCTGCAAGTAATCTTAGCTCATCTATCTTATTTCTTAGACTCCTACTATTTGTATAGTAAACTTAAAGGGCGCTAGTCACTCGTTCCCCTCGCGAAATCTCTCTTTGTTTTTTGATCAATTGATTTGCCATTACTAGCAACTTTATTTTGAATATTGTCTTTTAAACATATCCCTGAGGTATCCCGGTAATAACTGCTCTTTTTAACCCTAATGCTGCAGCCTGATTGTTTCCCACAAACACCCATACCTCTATAATCTATCAGTTTAAATTCCTAGAAGTCATCAATTCCCTCTCAATTGAATTGGCTAATGCAATCACTCCATCCCAGAGGATGAGCCCCACCCATTGCATACATTATCACGTTTGCCAAAGAATGGGTTTCCAGTTATCAATGAATGGATTGCAAGTTCCTTGCAGTACCTGTCTAGCAGCAATTTATACCAATTGCCCTAGAATCCATTCATTGCCCACTCCCTTTCTGGGCAAGATGCTACTATGAACTGGGATCCCTCTTGGACCTAACTACTTCTATGGCTAACCTGTACATATCCAGCAGCTCCTCTCTCCTGCCCTTCCCAATGTCATTACTCCCAGCATTAAGACAGATAATGGGCTTGTTCCCATTAACTTCCATAATATTATTCAACCTGCTGTGTCACCAACACCAGCTCCAGGAAGGCACACTCTCTGTCTGACCTTTCTGTCTCTGTTACAAAATGCACGGTCCACATATCTTACCTGAGAACCGCCTACTATTAAAGTATTCTTACCTTGATTAGCAGGGGAATCAGTGGTACTTTCAACCTCACTAACCACTGAAGTACACTCGTCTTGGAGAACAGAGAATCGATTTCCTACCTTCACATCTTCTCTATTGACTCTCATCTTCCTTCTTCCTGAACTGTGAACACTTGCCACTTAAAGCGGCTGCCACTATCACTGCTGGTGACCATTCCTTCCTTACCAGCTAAATCCTTCTCACACTCGCTCCCAAGCTCATCTATGCGAAGCTTCAGCTTCCTATTTTCCTCCTGAAGAAGTAGAATCTCCTTCCTCAACACTTGAACCTGAGATTTTAAAACACTACAACAAGCCATGGTGCTTGGTAACAGCCCACGGGCTAAAACGTTGTGTAGTTTTAAAAATAGGTTAGGTAAATACATGAGTGGGTGTGGGTGGGTGTGAGTTGGACCTGACTAGCTTGTACTGCTGGCTCTGGTACAGTGCTCCATCCTTGAGTTGGGATGACCAGAATGGGTGGGTCATTGGGATAATCCGGGGGGTGGGTCATTTATCTAATCCGGGGGGGGACATGGACCTACTCCGCATGGGTCAGTAGGCCTGTTGCAGTGTTCCTTCTTTCTTATGTTCTTATGTTCTTAATATTAACAGTATAAACCACATATTTCCATTATTCCCATCATAATACCTCGCTATTGTAGATGAACCATTTTAGGTATTCACAAAAATAATAATTTAAAAAATCGCAAATAATTACGTACCTGTTGGCCGCAATATAAGAGAAGAGGAATTCGAGGACAAGATCAGACAAAGTGCTGATTGCTCGCTGCATTAAGGTCATAGGATGTTTGTAGTCTAACATAGGAGAGGCATCATAGGAAGGAAAGCGTGGGTTACCTATCATTGATGAGAATGGCCCCATCAGCCCTGCTGGATTAACGTATACGAAAGGAACCTGCCAAGGAATAAATATAATAGTAAACTACAAGGCTCTGTAATACGTGCTACTACTACTATACTACTACTACTACTACGACCATTACTACTATTACCACCACTACTACTACTAGTACTACTACTACCACCACTACTACTACTACCATTACTACTACTACTACCATTACTACTACTACTGTTACTAGCAAAAATAATAATAGCAAAAAATAAAAGTAATCAAGATTTTATAAACAATTAGCGTTTCTCTGCCATTATATCATTGTGTAGAAATAACTATGTTTACATATGTACATTACCTACATTACTTTAACACATTAAAACATGCATTAAACATGACACATGACTTACCTTCATCTGATAAATCAATGACAAGAAACAGTCAGATATAAATACGCTGAGGAGAACCAAATCAAAATCTTCTTTTAGTAAATTCTGAACTTCTTCCTTGGCCAGAGCATCAGAACACAGAACCGGTGTAACACTTAACAGTGAGAGTGTGGCAGACATTTTATTTCCAGTGAACATATTGGGAACCCTATCCACTAAATCCACGCCTGTCAGGACAAGATTCCAATGCTCTATTTATTCATGTAAGAGATTTTAACCATCCAATTGATTTTCAAAAAGTTGAGAAAGTAGTATCAAGCAAGTCCATGGTCGACAGGAATATAATTGAATCTTGTTTCATAAAAAGCAGTTTTGACAATAATATATTTCCTTTGGTTTATATAAATTAGATCCATTTATAATTAATAGAATTTGGGAAGAATTTAATAATACACTGGACAAATAAATAGCTTGGGGGTGAGTTGTGCAAAGGACCTATCCAAGTTGGCTCGCCGCGCGTCACGTGTTTTAAACCCTTGTGGGGTCTGATAGTGAGTGCCCGGCCGGGCCCCCTTATATAGCTTCCTTGGATGCTTCACTTTTATAGTTCCTTGATAATGTGAGTAGTCACGAAACCGCTTGGAATTTTTTCTATTCTTTCAGAGGGTTGTTTTGCATATTTTGAAATCACCTGTTTACTGTGATCTTATTGCATATATATATAATATATATATATATATATATATATATATATATATATATATATATATATATATATATATATATATATATGCATATATATATATGTCGTGCCGAATAGCAGAACTTGCGATCTTGGCTTTAAAAAGCAACGCTCATCTTGCCATATAGGACAAGCGAAAATTTCTGTATGCAATAATTTCGCCAAAATCATTCTGAACCTAACGAAAAAAATATATTTCACTGTGTTTGTTTAGTATTAAATTATTATAAACAAAACTAAAATATATTTAGTTGGGTTAGGCTAAAATAAATTGTTCTTGTTATGAAAAGGTTAGGTAAGTTTTCTAAGATTCTTTTGGTGCAAAATTAAAATTTTTTACACAAACATTAATGAAAAATATATATCTTTAAACGTATAAGAGAAAATTTCAGAAAGGACTTAATTTTAAGGGGGCTGTAGGGCAAATTTCCGCGCGCGCTCACCCAAAAATCGAAAAATTATGGAAGTTGAGTTATATATACCGAAAAATAGCTTAATGTTGCAGTTCAAGAACTGTAGTGTAAGGCACCCTTCTGGCAAGACAGTGATGGAGTGAATGATGGTGAAAGTTTTTCTTTTTCGGGCCACCCTGCCTTGGTCGGAATCGGCCAATGTGCTAATATATATATATATATATATATATAAAAAATATATATATATTTTATATGTCGTGCCGAATAGGCAGAACTTGCGATCTTGGCTTAAAAAAGCAAAAGCTCATCTTGCCATATAGGACAAGTGAAATTTGTGTATGCAATAATTTCGCCAAAATCATTTTGAACCAACGAAAAAAATATATTTCATTGGTTTGTTTGGTATTAAATTATTGTAAACAAATCTAAAATAATTTAGTTGGGTTAAAGGGTAAAATAAATTGCTCTTGTTATAATAAGGTTAGGGAAGTTTCTAAGATTCTTTTGGTGAAAAATTACAAATTTTTACTTTAACATTAATGAAAAAAATATATCTTTAAACGTATAAGAGAAAATTTCAGAAAGGAATTAATTGTAAATGATTTTTTGCTAATTGACCAGTTTTACATATTCGGCACGAATAATATATATAAAATATATATATATATATATATATATATATATATATATAATATATATATATATATTTTATATATACGTGCCCAATATGTAAAACTGGTCAATTAGCAAGAACTCATTTAACACCCCTTCAGTGTGCAGGCACTGTACTTCCCATCTCCAGGACTCAACTCCGGCCTGCCGGCTTCCCTGAACCCCTTCATAAATGTTACTTTGTTCACACTCCAACAGCACGTCAAGTATTAAAAACCATTTGTCTCCATTCACTCCTATCAAACATGCTCACGCATGCCTGCTGGAAGTCCAAGCCCTTCGCACACAGAACCTCCTTTACCCCCTCCCTCCAACCTATCCTAGGCCGACCCGTACCCCGCCTTCGTTCCACTACAGACTGTTACACTCTTGAAGTAATTCTGTTTCGCTCCATTCTCTCTACATGTCCGACCCACCTCAACAACCCTTCTTCAGCCTTCTGGACAACAGTTTTGGCAGTCCCACACCTCCTAACTTCCAAACAACGAATTCTCTGCATTATATTCACACCACACATTGCCCTCAGACATGACATCTCCACTGCCTCCAGCCTTCTCCTCGCTGCAACATTCATCACCTATGTTTCACACTCATATAAGAGCGTTGGTAAAACTATACTCTCATACATTCCCCTCTTTGCCTCCAAGGACAAAGTTCTTTGTCTCCACAGACTCCTAAGTGCACCACTCACCCTTTTCCCCTCATCAACTCTATGATTCAACTTTCATTAACCCATCCGCTGACACGTCCACTCCCAAATATCTGAATACATTCACCCCCTCCATACTCTCTCCCTCCAATCTGATATCCAATCTTTCATCACCTAATCTTTTTGTTATCCTCATAACCTTACTCTTTCCTGTATTCACCTTTAATTTTCTTCTTTTGCACACCCCCACCAAATTCATCCACCAATCTCTGCAACTTCTCTTCAGAATCTCCCAAGAGCACAGTGTCATCAGCAAAGAGCAGCTGTGACAACTCCCACTTTGTGTGTGATTCTTTATCTTTTAACTCCACGCCTCTTGCCAAGACCCTCGCATTTACTTCTCTTACAACCCCATCTATAAATAATTAAACAACCACGGTTGTTTAATAATTTAACAATAATTAAACATCCAGGGTTGTTTAATATATTGTTTAAATATTGTTAAATATCAAGTGACTTTTTCTTAAGAAAAATGTCACTGATACTTAAGAAATGCAAATGGATATTTTTATTTCATATTTGACTAAAAAAAATAATTAATACGCCGTGCATGTTCAGGGTTTCGAAAACTAGTCGTTCTTCCACACACACACACACTTTATATATATATATATTTTTTTTTATTCGCCGGTATTCTCCCGGCCCGGGTCTTTTCCAAGTAGTGGTGACCCGGCCTTGGCTCCCTATCTGGGAAGTGTCTCGAGACTAAGTCTCCCATGGGAGGAGGGACAAGTACCTCCTCATCTTTGGGACCAAGTGTCCCCAGGCCTAGCCACATTCCCCGCCCTCACGGGGCTCGTAGGGAGAAGCTAGGCCTTTGGTCTGCCATCTACCCCGCCTCGAAGGGGCTCGTGGGGATGGCAGCCTTATGAGCTGCAGATGGTATCAAGCTCGGGCCTTGAACCTTTCTTTATATATATATTATAAATATATATATATATATATAATATATATATATAATATATAAAATATTTATATATATATATAGAAGAGAGAAGAGAGAGAGAGAGAGAGAGAAGTTGCAGAGATTGGTGGATGAATTTGGTAGGGTGTGCAAAAGAAGAAAATTAAAGGTGAATACGGGAAAGAGTAAGGTTATGAGGATAACAAAAAGATTGGGTTATGAAAGATTGAATATCAGATTGGAGGGAGAGAGTATGGAGGAGGTGAACGTATTCAGATATTGGGAGTGGACGTGTCAGGGGATGGGTCTAGAAAGATGAGGTGAATCATAGAATTGATGAGGGAAAAAGAGTGAGTGGTGCACTTAGGAGTCTGTGGAGACAAAGAACTTTGTCCTTGGAGGCAAAGAGGGGAATGTATGAAAATATAAATTTTTACCAACGCTCTTAATGGTGTGAAGCGTGGGTGATGAATGTTGCAGCGAGGAGAAGGCTGGAGGCAGTGGAGATGTCTGTCTGAGGGCAATGTGGGTGTGAATATAAAGCAGAGAATTCGTAGTTTGGAAGTTGGAGGGAGGTGCGGGATTACCAAAACTGTTGTCCAGAGGGCTGAGGAAGGGTTGTTGAGGTGGTTCGGACATGTAGAGAGAATGGAGCGAAACAGAATGACTTCAAGAGTGTATCAGTCTGTAGTGGAAGGAAGGCGGGGTAGGGGTCGGCCTAGGAAGGGTTGGAGGGAGGGGGTAAAGGAGGTTTTGTGTGCGAGGGGCTTGGACTTCCAGCAGGCATGCGTGAGCGTGGTATAAACCTTGGTAATAAATACCGACAAGTTGGTTTAGAAAGACACGTAAGCAAACACTATAACATATTTATTAGAAAACGTTTGGGTCCTGGAACCTTGATCACTTCTAACATACAGAGGTAGAAAGACATTATATATATAGGCGGAGAGTGAGATGTGACGCACGTGACCTGAGGAATGTCATAAGAACATAAGAATGGAGGAACACTGTAGGCCTTCTACAGTGTTCCTCCATTCTTATGTTCTTATGACATTCCTCAGGTCACGTGCGTCACATCTCACTCTCCGCCTATATAAAATAATGTCTTTCTACCTCTGTAATGTTAGAAGTGATCAAGGTTCCCAGGACCGAAACGTTTTCTAATAAATAATGTTATAGTGTTTGCTACGTGTCTTTCTAAACCCTGCGTGAGCGTGTTTGATAGGAGTGAATGGAGACAAATGGTTTTTAATACTTGACGTGCTGTTGGGGTGTGACAAAGTAAAAATTTATGAAGGGATTCAGGGAAACCGCAGGCCGGACTTGAGTCCTGGAGATGGGAAGTACAGTGCCTCACTCTGAAGGGGGTGTTAATGTTGCAGTTTAAAAACTGTAGTGTAAAGCACCCTTCTGGGAAGACAGTGATGGAGTGAAATGATGGTGAAAGTTTTTCTTTTTCGGGCCACCCTGCCTTTGGGGGGAATCGGCCGGTGTGATAATAAAAAAAAAAATATATATATATATATATTATAATAAAAAATATATATATTTTATAATAAATTATATATATATATATATATATAAAATATATATATAATAATATAATATATATAATATATATATATATATATATAATAAAAAATATATATAATATATTTTTTTTTTATTTTTTATTATCACACTGGCCGATTCCCACCAAGGCAGGGGGCCCGAAAAAGAAAAACTTTCACCATCATTCACTCCATCACTGTCTTGCCAGAAGGGGGCTTAAAACTACATTTTTAAACTGCAACATTAACACCCCTCCTTTAGAGTGGGAGGCACTGTACTTCCCATCTCCAGGACTCAAGTCCGGCCTGCCGGTTTTTTCCCCGAATCCCTTCATAAATGTTACTTTGCTCACACTCCAACAGCACGTCAAGTATTAAAAACCATTTGTCTCCATTCACTCCTATCAAACACGCTCATGCATGCCTGCTGGAAGTCCAAGCCCCACGCACAAAAAACCTCCTTTACCCCCTCCC